GCCAAGTACACACACACACACACACACACACACACACACACACACACACACACACTAACCAGCACATATTTCAATGCCTACTATTATTTCTTACCTCAAATACAGGTACTTCTCATTCTAATGATCCTTATTTTAAATCACTTTTCTATTATGTTTTCATACAATGCACTGTTTGTTTTGGTTGTTTGTTTGTTTGTTTGTTTGTTTGTTTGACACATAGTATTGTTCTGTTACTCTGGCTAGCCTGGACCTTGATATGGAGACCAGGCTGGTCATAGAATTGCAGGAATCCACCTGCCTTTGCCTCTTGAGAGTCGGGATTACAGGCACCATGACACCCGGCTATTTTTCCTTCTTTTTTTAAAATCTCAATTGCTACTTTTCTCTGACCCTTTAGTAGAATATGTGGTGCATGGGATGTCATTTGTGTGACTTAAATTTATGGATAAAAAGGCCATAGCAAAAGTTACTGGAACACTATTTATCTAGCTTCTGCATGGTGAGTGCTTCCTTTTCTGGCCTCTGCTACAGGTAGGTCCAGGTCCACTGATGACTTCCAGTGGAAAGAATTCAAGGGAAAAGCATGTGCATTAAAAGGATGTTGGGGTGCTGGGACGGTACGATCAAGGCCTCAGAGAGCACCCAGTGTGTGACTGTGAGAGGACTCTCAGCTAAAGTGTCTTGCACTCCCTCTCTCTAAAGCAAGCCGGGCACGTCATCCGTGGAACCCAGAACAAAATGAAACCATGGGGCCCCTTGCTCAAAATGGTTGAGAATTTCAGTACTGCATGAGCAGAGCATTGGACTTAGGTCAGGATTGGGGATGAAGCTCAGAGGTTAGGCACTTGCTATGTGTCAGACCTGAGTTCAATTGCCATCACTGAAAGAAGTTCCGGGCACCTTCTATGGGTTGACTTGTGTTTTAGTCAGGGTTCGCTAGAGTAACAGAATTTATAGAATGAAGTATAGATACAGATGGTGTTTATTAGGATGATTTACAGGCAGTGGTTAATCTAGTCCACTAATGGATGTCTACCAACAGAAGGTCCAAGAATCCAGAGTTGTTCCGTCCACAAGGTTAAATGTCTGAGCTGGTCTTTGGTATATACTGGAATCCCAAAAAAGTGGGCTCTGATGCCAGTGAAGGAATGGACTCGCTAGCAAGATGAGAGCAAGGAGGCAAAGAAAGCACACTTCCTTCTTCCATGTCTACAGGCTACCCTCAGAACGTGTGACCCAGCTTAAAAGTGGATCTTCCCACCTCCCAGATCCCCAGTAGAAATGAGTCTTCCCACTTTGAATAATTTATTTAAGAAATATCCTTCACAGATGTGCCCAACCACTTAGGCTTTAGTTCATTCAGATGCAGTCAAGTTGACAGATAAGAATAGCTAACACAACTTTAAAATATCACCCAGGTCAGGCACTCAGGAATTCCACACTCCCTCCAAAACATGTAAGATCTGATTGCAGTGATGTTGGATTGTGGGAACCCCAGGACTTCTTTTCCCTAGAACGCCCCATTGGTTTCTGATACACAGATCCCTCCTCCAGCTCCATCAGCCCATGCTCTGGTTAGTTTTGTTAACAATGGTACATAAGTTAGAGTCACTTGGGAAAGAGGGAACCTCAACTGAAGAATTTCCCAGATCAGATTGGCCTGTGGTCATGTCTCTAAGAGAATGTCTGGATTGATGATTGATGTAGGAGGGCCCAAACCACTGTTGGCAGCATCATCCCTAGGCAGAGGGTCCTGGGCTATGTAAGAAAAGTAGCTAAGCATGAGCCAGAGTGATCCAGCAAGCCAGTAAGCAGAGTTCCGCCATGGCCTCTGCTTCAGTTCCTGCCTCCAGCTTCCTGCCTCGAGTTCCTGCGCTAGCTACCTTAGTAAGGGAGTGTGAGCTGTAAGGTGAAATAAACCCCTTCCTCCCAAGTTGCTTTTGGTCAGAATGTTCTGCCATAGAAACAGAAAAGCACATTAGAAGAGCCCTGCATCTTTTCCTGCCCCCAATGCCTTTGGCTTTTTGCACCAAAACTCTTAAGAGAATCTGTGAGTTGTCCCACTGGAGGATCTCCATGTTCCCTCTGAAACCCAGGGGTACTGCTGCACACCTCCAAGAACTTGGCATTTGAAAGAGAAAGGTGTGAAGGGCACCATTCAAGCCCTGAGTACACTGTAAGCTTGAAATGTAGTTTTTCTTTGCACACAGTCCAGAGTCCTGGCTGTGACCTTCTCTACCGAGCAGGAGAGAGAGCCAGAGATGGATTTGCTGAGTTTGCAGTTCATCTCTACCTGGAAGCAGATGGGCTGGAAGAGGGAGTCAGCTGTCCCTCAGTGTCCTCCCTGGAGTGGTTCCATGTAACATCTCCTGTCTTAAAAGTCAAAAGGCCCGCAGTCGGTCTGGGAGGACCAAGACCTGCCCCCAGCTGATCAGCGCCTGTATTGTAGGGTTAAGCTCTTGAGTCAACACACTGCAATGTTCTAGGACATAGTTTGGCTTCCTGCTTTCTGGATCACATTCTCTCTTGGGTTTTCCCCACTCCCTGGTATGATCTCAAAGGTTCTGTCTGTGTCAGGATCCCCCGCCCCTTGTCAACACAGACACACTAGAATGTCTTTCTACCACAGCTGCTGTGCATACATGAATGTCATTAGCTCTTGTCTAGTAAGCCATTCCTTGGGTTACTATGGGAAGAGAGACAGTGCCTTCCAGAAGAACGGGTCTTCAGGAGCCAAAACCAAGTGAAGTTTCCCAAAGAGTAGAAGCCAGGAGTGAGGAAGGAAGCCCAGAGTCAGTGGCTGAGTGGGACGGGGCCACCCCAGCAGAAAGATCCCAAACCAGGTGAGCCACTGGATCCACTTGGAGAGATTTAGGGTCTCCCCTTCTCAGAAATGTGGGCAGGACCTCGCAGAACTACTCACACACCCAATGGGGAAGCTGAGACTCAAACCTACAACTGAAGGGTCCATATTTCCAAGTGAAAAGTAGTCCACACATTAAGTTTTAGCCATACTGCCCTTGGACCCCTGTGTCCTCTGTCCTACGTCATAGGTCCAGTCACTGGCTGTTAGTACATTTCACATCTACTGTTAAGACACAGGATGATGCTCCAGGGCAGGAAGGATCCAGAGAAGGCCAGGCTGTTAGAAATTTATTCTCCTAACAGATGCCTGTAGCTGAGTTCACAAGTGCTGGGACCGAATAGTTCAAGTTCTATATTGATACAGCATAGACTGAAGGGTTGGTTTTGATATGTGAACTTACAGCTGAAGATTAGCTTATTTAGACTTATGAATACAAGTACAGCATTGATCTAAAATGTCAGGACCACAAAAGACTATTTCAGAGAGGGAAAAAAAAATCCATCCCCTGGCATTGTTCAAAGGGGAATAAAAATTCAGCTTACTGTGAGTTAGGGGTTCATCTCGTAAACTCCTTTCAGGCACTGCACCCCATGGACAGGTTCTTCCTCAGCTCCTGCTCTGTGTACATGACCTCTGACTTATAAAACAAGAATTGGGCGTTGGTGATTGGGGAGATGGCTCAGTCGATAGAGTGCCTGCCATACGAACATACGCATCTGGATTTAGTCCCTCACGCCCGTGTTGAAAAGAAGTAGAAGGAAACCCATAGCCAGGCATGGCAGCATGTACCTGTAAAGGCAGCACCAGAGGCAGGCGGAGTCAAGTGGTTCTCTGAGGCTGGGTGGCCAACAATCTGGTCAAATGGGTGACCTTTAGATTCAGTGAGAGACTCCGTCTCAATAATAATAATAATAATAATAATAATAATAATAATAATAATAATAAGGAAGATACCTGACATGGTCTCATGTACTCATGAGGGGAGAGAAAAGGGGCTGGGGGGGGGCACTGGAACTCGGGGTCAAGGAGTAAGCTGTTGAGCCGGATGGGCTGCCTCAGCCTGGAAGTGTCGGAACTGAGGTTTCATCCAGGGGGAAATGATCATCCCACCTCCCAAGGCTCCTTTCTGCCTTCCACTGGGCACTCAGTACTCCTCCTGGGAAGGAGCGTTAGCCTCAGGACCACATCCCAAAGAACCAGGTTCAAGGTCCAGCTTCACCAATGACTAGAGATGTGATGTCATTTCAAGGTCCCCCACAGGTACCCATGCACACTGCCAGAGACCTCGGGTTGGGAAGCAAGTCTTATAAAGGGGGGCATTGGCAGAAGGAGGGGTTACCCCGAATATCAGCACCCATTTTCCACCTTCTGGAAGGTTCTGATGGCCACCATCTGGAGGAAGAGAGCCGGACCCGGGGATGTGGGCCAAGAAGCATGCTCTTGTGGGAGCCTCCCGGGAGCCAGGCAGCAGCATGTGTCTGAGCAGTACCATTTACGCCCAGGAGCCCGCTATTTGGAAAACAGAGCTGGTACCAAGCATGCCATCTGTGGCCAAGCTTTCCCGGCCCGTCACACCATATTGTGGAAGGCGCCGGCTGAAGGAAACAACGTCCCCTGTCTCGAAGTGTTTGTTTGGTTTGGGGCTTTTGTTGAGTTTTTTTTGTTTTGTTTTGTTTTTTGTTTTTTTAACAAATTCAAATGTGGCTTCCTCAGTTAGTAAAGCAGGCTGACTGGTCTCATGGAGTCGCTGAAGGGAGAGGGGAGTTGACGCAATGTGTGAACTGTACGCTGGCACTAGGTGCAGACTAGCACCCGGCGCACACCGAGGGGTATTCTGTCAGGCACTTGGCTGAGCGAGGCATACATCACATGCATCGTATGTGTGCTTTCTGTCTTTTGCACAACCACCTCATGCAGCATATACCATCGCTATTCCATTATAGAGAGGTGGAAATGGGGGCACAGAGAGACTGAGAAACTTGCTTGTGTCCACACAGCAAGCAATAGCAGACGCCAACGGAGCTGGGTTCGGTCCATTACCACCTGGCTGGCTTCTGGAACCTGTTTGTGACATCGTTTAGCCCCTCCCTTTCACCTGCCCTTCCGTATTTTCTTCTCTGTGTGTTGGTTGACTGTGAAACCGCCAACCTTAGGAGTTAGTCTGTTGTTTGTGGTCCTCTCACTGAAATGCCATTTCCACACACAGAGGGCTCCTGTCTGCCTGGTCCGCCATGGGCCCCTGGTGTCTAGCATGCGGCCCAGCCATCAGAGGGAACTTGCTGTCCATCCTGGGTGTACCCGTATTCCAGCCTATATGGTTACCTTCAGACTGCATCTCCAGCAGACACAGATGTGAGCCAGAGCTGAACCTCAGCTCCCTGAACTGTGAAATGAGGTGAAAACACCCAGGTGGCCCAACCTGGGAGCTCCCAGTGGCCCTTGCTGAGCACATACCCTGCGGAAGAATTTTCTGTTCTTGGTTGGCCCGACCTCAGGATTAGGACAGAGCCATGTGCAGCTTCTCTGCTGCTTGGCTCTGATAGGTATTTTTTTTTTTTATCATTGGACATTAAAGGGAACCCCATTTAGATTTCCTTCTCTCAGCCTCAGTTTCCCCACCTAGGACATGGCCCAGTGTTCTGGAAAGCCCTATGTAGCTCTAACCCCAATTTGGTGTAATTCCTCCAGTCATGTCAAGAGCCCCGAGTGCTTGGCAATGGGACAAGTGGCCAGAGAGCACAAGACAGTGATCTGTCACATAGGCCCAGGCCCAAGGTGCTGACCCCCACACTGGCCAGAGCCAGTCTCCCAGCAGCCGCCCCGAGGAGAAGCCACCCCTCAAGGAACCACGTGTCACTCCGTTAAGTGCCTGCGGGAGGCCGGGTTTGGAGAGTGGCGGGCAGGCTCCACTTCAGGAGTACACAGCAAAACGTGGTGCGGTCATCAGTGAGGGGGCACACATTACTACGCCGGTTCTGTTTGCTTGGCACTCCTGCTCTGCCACAGGCCGCCTTCTTTCTTTAGTTTTTTCCACTCCCACCCGCCCCCAAGAAGGGGGAAAAATGCTCTTTGGGAACCGAAGCAAAATAAAAATGCCAAGAATTAAAAATGCAAATTCATCCAAGATGTTTTCTGCCCAAGACAGCAGTGGCCACATGGCTCGATAACATTTTAAATGTTAAAAAATGGGTAATTTTCAGTAAAAAAAAAAAAAAAAATCAAATTTGCCAGAGCCCAAGTCTAAAGGAGTCCCGTACAGCACTTGGGCACCCAGCCAATATTAGTGAACAAGTCCCTGCAGAAGGGTACATATTATTGAGATGGGGTGAAAAACCAGACTTCACATATGCAGCTCTGGTCCTTGGCTGTAAATATAGCTCAGCCACAGCCTTACACAGGTCTGGTGCCCACCCTGTCCGTGGCTGCCCATGTGTACTCTGCACATGAATGAAAACACCTAGGTTTCCTAGGATGCTAAGACCAGCAGAGATGCCCAAAAAAGGTATCCCTGTCTGGTTTCTGTAGCTAGAAAAAATGAGTGAGAGTGGGTAATGCAGAAAGAGAACCAGGTTGGGCTGCAGCTTTCGGGGGGTGGGGGTGGGGGTGTAGGGTGTGGTACATCACCTGCTTGGCTTTAGGGAGGATCTCATGATGCAGCTTCAACTCCAGGCAGAATGCAGCTGTGAGAGCTGCTACCTGCAGAAGTGGGACACATCACAGCAGACCGTGGGATGCATCCACCATTGAAGCTGCTGTCCTCGCTGCTCTAAGGGCCCCGCAGAAAGCAGCTTCAGGATGGAAGGGTTGATTTTGGCTCACAGTCTGAGGGACTACTGTCCACTGTGGTAGGGAAGGCATGGCATGGGGCCGCGCGCGTGCGTAAGCGGATCACATGACATCTGCCCTCAGGGAACAGAGAGCTAGGAGTCCCTGTGCCTCCTCCCTTCTGTACAACACGGGACCCCAGCTCAGTGTGTTGCCATGTGCATTTAAGGTGGGTTCATGGTATGCCACCTCATACACAGAGCCGGTTGGATTCATGAGTAAATTACAGGCTCTTCTTCCTGTCTCTGTCCTTGTAAAATGCACCTGCCAGGAAGAGCTAGGATGGGCTATCTGAACTCACCCTACACTTCATAACTTTCTCCCTCTACCCCTTTCCAGAGGGCCATCTCCCTGGTGTCTGTGGATTCCTCCGTCTCTCTCCTCTATGCCTGTCTAGAGGGCTTCTGACCTGTGCTGTGGGAGTTCCCCATCCCTCTCCTCAGGTGAGCAACATCTCCTGTTCTGCTGACTGACCCCCAGTCAATCAGTCCGGCAACTAGTTCAGTGGATGGGTGAACCAGTTAGCTGCTTGACTGTTTAAACAGTCAGTTTGTTCATTGGCAGATCAGTGGGTACATTGGTTGGTTGATTAGTTAGTAAGCTGGCTGGCTAATTGGGCAGTTTTGTTTGTTGATAGCTGGTTGACTTGTTAGTGTGTTAATTAATTGGTTGCTTGAATGATTCGTTTGTTGACTGGTCAGTTTATTTACTGGTAGGATGGTTAGTAACCTATCCAATAGACTGGTTGTTTGGTTGATCAGTTGCTCATTCTGTTGGTTAACTGGTTGATTGATTATTATGTTGGTTAATCAGTTAGTTGGTGGTTGGTTAGGTGACTGGTTGCTTTACTTCAGATCACCATGATTTAGCACAGTGTCACATACACAGCAGGGGTGCAACAAACTTTCATTGGTCACTCTCAGATCACCACTCCCCTTGAGTTCTCAGCACCTCAGTGCCCTAGGCTGGGAACAAGAAACCTCGGCTCAGCGAAGGCCGATACTAATCCATAGTGCCACATTCAGGAAGGGACCAGGCATCTCCTGGGCCCCTATAGCTAATTTGATGTTCTGTATCTTTCTGGACAGATCCTGCTGTTCCATGGGACCCAGTTGGCTGTGGCCAGGAGAACATGGCAGAGCCTCGTTGCAGGGGCCGTGCACTTCAGGAGCAGCTCTTAATTCAGGACCTTTGGTTCAAGTAGGAGGGCTGCCTTCTGAGCTGTGGCTCTCTTCTGTGAGCCAATGTCCCCAAGACTCCTTTGTAAGGACTTCTGGCAGGTGTACGAACCATGAGCTCCCAAGGCAGCGGAAAAAAAAACAAACAGGACATAGAAAACCCGAGTAGGAGGCAGGCACCCTCCACACGACAGGTGGAGCCTGCCCCGGAGTTCACACATATAGACCACAGACAGGGACAAGATAGACCAGGAGAAAACCAGGCCACACAGAAAGTCAGTCCCAGCCCTGCCAATAGCTCCTTACCCACCAGGATACAGTGCCTGACTCCTTCTAGAACCCTCTAGGGCATAGCTGGAGGGACAGAGTGCTATAACTCCCTGAAAAGACTAGATTCCGCCTGAACAGAGTTCAAATCCAACAAGTCAGGCCCAGAGCCAGGCATGGAGCTCGGGAAGTCCCTGGGCCCCTGGCAACACCCCCAGCCCACCCCAGACTGCCAGCCAAGCTCCTGGAGACTGTCAGCAAGCTCTCGCCTCTGATGAATGAGAGGAAACCCTCCATGGCAATGTCAAGAAAAAAAAATGAGAGAAAATAGCATGTTTGTGACCTATTACTAATTGTGCGGCCTTGGGGTTTTCTTAGTCTGTATTTTTGGTCCACTGGTGTTACATAAGCACATTACTCTCACACCACTTTACAAATTCAGTTAGCAGGGCCCGGCTCCTACGTCCTTGCATACCCCGCCATGCCGTGCAGGGGGAGAATTTCTGGAAGACCATCTGTTTTGAATGCACACGAGCCTATTAATTGATTACTACCCACCCCGAGGAGCTCCCTACCACACGACCACATAGGGGAGTGCCCTCTGCTCCACCTCCTGTTCGCATAAATCCCAGTGATCTTCAAAAGGCCACTATTGCTCCTGCTCCTGCTCCAAACTGCAAGGCAAAGGTAGTGAGTGACCGCAGGAAGTGACTCCCTGGCTATCACGAAGCTCACTGGCTTCATCAAGTTCTGGACCGCATCCATCCAGTACTTGGTCAATGGCCTTAACCAAGACCCTCACCACAAATGGCCTCTGCAGGAATGATACAGACGTCCGTGCACAGCATCTTACAGGGAAAATGTTTAGAGAGGGTTTAGCACAGAACAGAGTGTGTTGTGTGGGTTGTATTAAGAACAAAGGCTTGTCTAGGTGCAACATAGAGCAGACCCTTCCCATACTTTCCATTCAGGACCCTGTAAGGCCTCGCCAGCCTTTGTTCATGACCGGCTTCAGCGTTACCATCCTTACTCACACAGGAGGCAACGAGCACAAAGAACTGAGGGACTGGCCAGGTTTCCCAGCTGATGGGTGGAGGGAGGGTCAGGAGCACCAACCCCGGGGAACTACCGGGGAAGTCCCCGTCCTTTGCCACTGCTCTCCAAGTCCAGAGAGACAAGCTCTATGTGGTTGGTGTCAATGCCGCCTTTAAGGTGACAGCTGACACACATGTCAGCCCGGCTTGGGTATTCCAGCCTGACTTTGATGGAGGACTTGGGTTCTCTCTCCTGGGGCAGATGGAGGAACCCTGTCTCTGGCATATTGCCTCAGTAATGCCATCAATACATAAAGGAGACTGGAGTTTACACAATCAACCCCAAGGCACGCTTCCTCAGTGTGGAAAGCATCAACAAAGACCTCCAAAGATGAGTTGCAGCCACTGCAGAGCCCTGCCAAACCCAGCCACCCAGCTTGCGGGACAAGACACACGCATGCACACGCTCGCTCACCGGCCACGACTTGCCTCCCCACTGCCCCATCAAAGGACAGAAAACTAATCCTTCACCCTTTTCTTCCCAGCACGCAGGCCAGGAATGCCCAGGCTGCTCCAAGGAGGGGTAATTCGCTAACTCCAGCCTGTTCCAAGATCAACAGAAAGTTTGTACTGCCAGGCTCCTCCCTCGGCCGGTGAAAAATGATGTGTATTTTCTCTTTCACACCATGCGTGCTTGTGCATGAGTGTGCTTAAATCATGTGTCTGTGAATGAGTGTGGGGTGCACGTGCGTGAGCTGGGGGAGGGACACACTGTACCACATACCTTCCCCCATGGAACAGTGTTGCTGAGAACCAGACACGCTGAAGCTTTCTGATCGAATTTCCACCAAAACTTCCTTCCAGCTTCTCTGTCCCTAAATCCTACAAGCAGAAAAGTCCTGAACCTCCCATAACTGTTTTGTGCCCAAGAAATAAAGCTGTACTGGAGAAGATCGCAGGAGGCGACGTGCCCTAGTCCCAGATAAATGCATCCTGCAACCTCCTTGGCGTCCATCACACTGAACTGCACAGTGGGACTAAGCTACAAGACCCATAAGGCGGAGCCCAGCCGGTCACACAGGAAGACCCCAATGGGGAGAGGGGGAGCCAACCCAGGGCAGGCTGGGGTCCTTCAACCTGCGGTGCATCTTGTTGGTGTGATCCTTCTGAATAGGGGCTGTTGCATGATACTCTGGAAAGTGTCCACTGTTCCCCACGGCCCTACGAGCTAGGCAGGTGAAGGGACCGTCAGAACTGCAGCCACTAGCTCCTGGTCTGCGGCCCTGGGTTGCTGACGGTTTGGCTTTCCCTCCAGCGTACAGCGTGTGAGGTGTTGATCTCGGCAGAGGGGCATCGAGGAAAGCAGGTCTTTCAGTGTGGTGGGTGAGCTGTTCTATCCAGGTGAAGTCTGCACAGAGGACTGCCTGGGAACGGCGCCCACTGTCGCCCTCTCCCCGAATGGTTCTGTGGCTCAGTCTCCTGGTCTGTTTAGATTAAGCAGCTGCCAGCACCCAGGCCATCCAAGGCCTGTTGAGACAGACTCCTGCAGATGCCCTGGAACGAGATGGGCCCCTGTGCAGGGCCTGGAACTTCAGCTCCTTCTGTCTGGTTTTAGCTAACAACCTCACTGGGAGGCTGTCATACAGAACCACATACAGAAGTTGGGGTCCCTTGAAGGGACAGGAGCCCCCTGCCGAGGAATGGCAGCAGCTGAAGTGAGAGACGTGGGGCCTTCTGCAGGGTCTGGCCCTACCTCTGACCTCCACCCCCAGCTCATCTTTTCACCCTTTCCCTCAGTCCCTGCAGAGCCCCCCTCCCCCCCCCAAGTCTGCCTCTCAATCTTCCAGGCAGCTTCAGCTGCGTCTGCCCTGTGCCTTCCCCGTCCGTCTCCAGCTTCAGACTCTTCTATTCTCTTCCAGTTCCCTGTCCCTGTCTCTCCAGTTTCTCTTCCCCCGGAAGAGCTCCCCTCAATTTCCACTCTTCATCTGACCACACAAGGGCTTGAGTGCAACAGCCCCAGCTTCAGAGCCAGGCTCCGCCTCCAGCTGCCGATGATCACTGACCTCTGACCTCTGAAAGAGTCTCAGCAGACTCTAAGGAGGACCACTGGGGTAATGCATGTTAATAATAGTTTCTAATAATAATAATAATAATAATAATAATAATAATAATAATAATAACACAAAGCAGAATTTCAGGGACCAGAAGCTGCTGCAACATGGGATGTGGGGACAGGAGTCAGCACACCGTGGTGCCCCACCCTGCTCTCCTCTCCCAGCTCAGTCTCCTGGCTCCTCCTGCCCAGATCTCCTTCTCACAGGGCTTCCTAAGTGCCAAACTGTCTCCCAGGTGTTCCTAGGCCCTCTTCTCCAGAAACAGCTAGGCTAGAGCCCATTTGGCAAAAGGATAAGCTGGTAGACAGTTCTAGAAATAAAACCTTTGCCATGGAACAGAGAGGACCCTTCTTTGCCTACAAAGTTGGCAAAGTTAACCAGCCACAAACTAGGAAAGGGGGGGTGAGGGGGGAACATGAGCTTCTGGGTTCCAGGAGGCGTGAGAGGGAGGAGACATGGTTCTGAGCATCACTGTATGCTGAGACGAGAGGGAGACAGTGGCAATGGATGAGCGCTGTAGCAATAGCTTAGTGAGCACCACATGGAGTGGGGTGGCATACGCTTGTAATCCAGCACCCAGGAGGCTAAAGGAGGGAGGATCATGACTTCAAGGCCAGCTTGGGCTGTGTAGTGAGACACACACACACACACACACACACACACACTCCCATCTGTGGTGATATATTGTGTACCCACAATAAAGCTTACCTGGGGATCAGAGGACAAAGCCAGCCACTGTATTAAACCTAGAGGTCCGTCAGTGGTGGCACACGCCTGTAATACTAGTGTTCAGGAGGCAGAGATCCATTTGGGTCTCTGTGAGTTCAAGGCCACAGTGGGAACAGAGCCAGGCGTGGTGGCACACACCTTTAATCCCAGCACTAGGAAGGAAGGAAGACGGTAGGGTACAGAAAGGTATATTAGGCGTGAATAAACAGGAAGTCTCTCTCTTGAGGCTGAGGGTTTTGTAGAGGTAAGGACGTGGCTGGCTTGTTCTGTTTCTCTGATTTTTCAGCTCTCACCCCAATATCTGGCTCCAAGTGTTTTTTTTTTTATTAATAAGACCTTTTAAGATTCATGTTACACCCATCTCAATAGAACAAAATGAAAAATAGTAAATAAACAAAATAAAGATTTGGGGTTTAAATTAAAATGAACAATTATTAAAAGATCTTTATATGTGATGTGTATTTAATAATTTATATAATACATGTAAATTTATATGTGACAACATATAGTTTATAAAAGCACATAGCTTATATCATGATTCTTTAAAATATTTAAAGCATATATAAATTTATAAATGAGAATACGGTAACAACAGGAACTGTCTAGGTATGTCGCTGGCTACCTTGGAAAGTCGTGAGCTCCCCATTGTGGGCAGGGCTGCAGGGCTGCTGTAGGAGCAGCTATGAAAAGCAGAGTGTATGTACCAAGGGCGCAGGGCTCTCATACTCTCTGGCTGCCATTGGGATTCACTGGGAGGGAGCCAGCTCAGGCTTCACTTTGCAGGGTGGGTGGGTGGACAGAGGTCAGAGGCAATGTCAAGAGCAGGCCCCCCTTCCTAGTTTTATTCCGGGGTTGTCAGGTGGTCCAGGACACGGTCAGTATGTGGTGCTCAGTGGGGAAAGGAGAGGGCTGAGTGGGGAGCGGGGCTTGGGGAACCAGCCCTGGCAGAAGGGCTCCCCTGGAGTCTCAGCAACGAGGAAGATCTTGCAGACTGTGGGTTCTCCCTCTCTACCACACAACCCCTGAAGTCTGAACCAGAGAGACATGGTTCTAAATCCCAGCACTGGACCCTGGTAGCCATCTGGCCTGTCCTTAATTTCTCCTCTACAGAATGGGCTAACATTAAGTGGCTAGTGATGTGGTTGACCGTGAGAGGAAATGGCATCCCCAGCAGGGCCAGCTCTGAGCCCTGCCCATGTGCCTGGGCAGGCCAGCAGGACTGTTCGAACTCTATAAACGCATGGGTCTTGCTGGCAAAAATGAACCAGGAGACCCTCTGACCCCAGGTCCACCTCTGCCTGCCTCACAAGGTCCCTTCTTTGCTTTTTCTTCTTTGAGAAATGTGGGTCTTTGACCCAAGGCTGACCCAAGACTGTCGCATCAGGACAAGCCTGTGGCAAAGGAGATGTGCTGGGTG